CTCTCTCCCCTTACCCTCCTCACCACCCGTATTCTCTCTTTGAGAAAGTGTTTGATGAGTATACAAAGAGTTGAGGTAAAGAATAAATGAAAAGAACTGCTGAGAGACATTTTCTGTTCAACAATAGGAATAGGATTAAACTAAGTTTATATAATTTACTCTTATTTTTCAAATTATATGATTCAGATTTAATTTTGATACCTTCTTTATAGAAAAAGGAAATTTAAAGGGAATATCAACGTAATTTTAAAGAGAATGCTTCCTATAAATATCATCAAGTATCTATCTCGTATTTAAAGTGAATATCACCATAATTTAAAGAGAATGCTTCCGTTAAATATCATCAAGTATCTATCTCGTATTTAAAGTTAATATCAACATAATTTAAAGAGAATGCTTCCTGTAAATATCTTCTTCTTCTCAAATACTTTATTAAAAACAAAAGAACACATATACACTTAGAATATAATTATAGTATAGAGTGGCTTGTTCTCCCTCTAGTTTCAGATAAAATAACAAACGTGATTTCAAATATTCCATGAAAGAAGAAATAGAGATAAACTTTTAATAAATNATAAATATCATCAAGTATCTATATCGTATTTAAAGTGAATATCAACATAATTTAAAGAGAATGCTTCCTATAAATATCATCAAGTATCCATCTTGTATTTTAAAAAATATATTATTATTTTGGAAATTCATATGTTTATAGAAGTATAAACGCTTAAAACTTAAACTGTTTCTTCTGTTTCTGACTTATATACAATTGCTTTAAATATTTTTTAATTGTCAATGCTATTTTCTTATTCATTTTTTTAAACCACAGCTAATTTTTTTTGTAATTTAACTTACTATTGAAAGGGTGGTAAACATAAGATTATTTTTACAGCATTTTCACGCGTTAAATGATTATTCTGAATGTTGGGAGATAAAAGAAAGATAAAAGCTTTGTCTCATCATTCATGAAAAACGAAACAAAGGGAGTTGAAGACATCTTGTAAAAATGCTTAATTTAAAGATATTTTACACATAGAATATCTAAATATAAAGTAGTAATCTCTTTTTTTGAATATTTGTTTGTCCGATCATTGACAAGAAAGTTTTTTAAACTCTCTAAAGTAGTTTATTAAATTATCTTGATACTTGGAAACCCGTTTATTTTTCTTCATTTTCACAAATAAGTTCTGTTCATATTTTTCTTCTGTTTGTTTTATTTCTCTTTATATAAATTGGCAATCCAAGGTGTATTAAGGCATCAAAGCAAGATATAAAAAAGTTTTCGTTTTATCTTCTCTCGAGTTAATCTGATTTCAGTAAACCTATTTATAAAAATATTGAAAAGTGGAAATTCTACATGGTGAAAATATATCATCTAAAAATTAAATTAGAATCCAATGTTGTACCTATCATAATTTCTAGTTAAGCCGAAATTTCTTAGATTTACCTAGAATTGTGTCCTCATGTAATGAAAGAAAAGCATTTTTTTTAAACCTAGGAAACAAATTTGAAAAAACTAGATTTTTACAATTTTCTTTTTTTTGGGTGAAAATTGTAATCTATTTGTTTATCTATTAATTTTAATTTTATCATATTAATAACATTTATGGCAGAAATTTATAAACGACAAAGAAAAAGTTTAACTAGCTAGGATTTTCATAAATTATCATTTTAGATTAAAAAATTTAACAAACTCAAATTTTCTTATTAATATTTCTTCGCAAGTTTAAAGTGAACAAACCTTTGTTTATTCAAAGTTTTAATTATGTTTGATAAAATTATCTAAGTTTGAAATTTCAAAGGTGTTCACCATCAGGTTACAAAACAAACTTAATTCCTTTAATTAATTAAATTCAAAATCCAGAAAAGGTGAAAACGTTGTTGTGATCGAAATTTAAAAGATGGTTTACAATTTTATTTATTACGTCTTTTAGAATATACACCTGTACTATATTTTACAGTCGCACCAACCCGTCTAGTGTACCCAGATGCAGAATGTGGTCTGTTTGTGGTTGACCCAAAGCGTGTTCTGCAACAAACGTAGGCAGAACCAGTTTAAAATAAGTTTCACAAGAATATAACAAAAAATATAGATAATGTAAGGTTTGAACCCTTAAGGTACGAACCCCTTAGTTTTATATTATTTTAAGACAGAAAGATTTTAAGTCAATCATAGAATAAGAAATAATTCGGGGCCCCTATCCAGAATCTTGGAAGAAGGAAAAGAAAAGAGAAAATTCCAGGAAAAACTGGAAATCCCTGCTTGAATAAATATCTAAATATGGAAATTAATATTTTAGATAAATCAAGGATCTAGGTCTAGTGGGCCGGATCAATCTTAACAAAAGACCAAATGATCTGAATTTTTTAGATCAAAGTCCACGTAGGTCAGCTATTCTTTTAGATCAGATTCCCTGTAGATCAAAGTCCATGTTGGTCAGATTCTTTAAAATCAGATTCCCTTTAGATCAAAGTCCACGTTTAGGTTTATGTTTACATTCCCGTTAATTCTCAATCTAAACTTGATTCACCTCTCATAAGTGTTCAATTATAATCTAATAAATTATGTAAATCCTAACTACTCACAAACACCACTTTCCACAGCATAAGAAAATTATTATCTTACTAGCTTGAGAACACAGCGTTGCCCAAGGTACTCGAATAGTTGCTCCCGCAGTTTACCCGCACTTGGTCGTTAACGGTTTTAGATATTTTCCCTATACAAGTGGAATCAATCAACTTTTAATATAAAAATCAGGCTAAGATTATTCCCGTTGGTCTCCCGAGTTCTCCAATCAAAATTAGAGGCAAATCGGTCCAGGATTTTCCGCGTTATGATCGGACAAACAACAAACAGATACCCAAGCAGATATTGCAACTTTATATCTAGATTTCTCTCTATAATGGTTTATTTACTTGCTTATGGTTTATGGATACTCAGAGTTACAAAATTCCTTAAAAAATTTTATTCTTCACAAATTTTCTTTATCCACTAAAGAATTGTAAATCCGCAAAAATTGTTTTATGTTATATCAAAGTATAAATTCTGAAAGATAGACCAACTATTAAAAGTTGAATCAGCAAGATGGCGCCCTGATAGCCTAGTGTAATATATTGTATTTAAACTTTATACCATAAATGATATTGTAAATCCATCATATATCTATTTATCTATGCTCTAAATAAATTTCATGTTGTAAATCCATCATTTATCTATTTATCTATGCTCTAAATAAATTTCATGTTGTAAATCCATCATTTATCTATTTATCTATGCTCTAAATAAATTTCATATTGTAAATCCATCATATATCTATTTATCTATGCTCTAAATAAATTTCATATTGTAAATCCATCATTTATCTATTTATCTATGCTCTAAATAAATTTCATATTGTAAATCCATCATATATCTATTTATCTATGCTCTAAATAGATTTCATATTGTAAATCCATCATATATCTATTTATCTATGCTCTAAATAGATTTCATATTGTAAATCCATCATATATCTATTTATCTATGCTCTAAATAAATTTCATATTGTAAATCCATCATATATCTATTTATCTATGCTCTAAATAAATTTCATATTGTAAATCCATCATATATCTATTTATCTATGCTCTAAATAAATTTCATATTGTAAATATAAATATATAATAGCATAGATCAAGTGGGAAGGAGAAGAGGGGACTGAGGATTATTTTCTAATTTTGTCTAAATATAAATTTTTCAAATTAATATTTGGCCTCAAAATAGTATTACTATTTTTAACCATTTAAGTTGAAATTATTTCGGCTCTTAATAACATATTTGATCTACTACAAAAAAAATATTTTTATTTATTGTTTTATAAAAAATCAAAACAACTAATTTTTATTTTTTTTGTCAATGATTTTAGGGCTTGTCGTTGTAATTTCAATAAACCCTCTATTTAAAGAGGGGCTTAAGCGCTGTTTTTAAACATTCAAGTTTGGCTTTAGAAGTAGGAGTAAGCTGACCTTAAACCTTTACCAGATTAGTAGCGTGGAAGATACTGTAATTTTCTAGATTAGAAATGGTTTATTGTTCAAAATGGATTTTCTTAAGTCAATGATTTCCCAATCCTGTGGACATTTTATATGCGGAAGAAAACAAAATAAAACCTTATCAAATAAAAGGAAAATGTAACATTATGTAAGTGTATGAAAAATAATGTGTAGGTTGGGACATGAACAAAATATAAAAAAGGAAAATGTTAATGTATGAAATATAATGTATAGATGGGAAAATGTTGTGCAAGTGCAAACAAGTAGAATACTGGTTCCAATTACCACAAATTCGAGATTTATCACAAATAATAATGTTTTATTTATCTTGCTCGTTAGAGGGGGAGAGAGTATAATAATCATGGAGTAGGAATATTGTATTTATCAAGAGCTGGGAACTTTAGAATGGATAACCTTTTATCCCAACTACTTAATCCGAATATCCACCATTCTAAAGTTCCCAGCTCAGGACGATTTCTGCGTCTGAGTCATACCAATCCTTTTTAATTGAGCCCAAATAGGTTGTCAAGTACTTGACAACCTATTTGATTGAGCCCCACTAATCATGGTTAAGAGTCACAATCAGTAGTCACCAAGTCACATTAAACATGCACCTGAGCCACATCAATCCTGTGCCTTAGCTTCACCAATCCTGTGCCTGAGCCACATCAATCCTGTGGCTTAGCTACACCAATCCTGTGGCTAAGGAACACCAATCTTGTGCCTGAGCAACACCAATTTTGTGCCTGAGCAACAACTCCCTGTGGCAAAACCACACCTCCTTGTGGCTGATTCATAGTAATTCTACGCCTTAGCCACACAAATCCTGTGCCCGAGCCACAATTAAGCTTTGTCTTTGTTTATGAAAGATACTAATTACATTGTATTTTCAACTTTACAGCTTTTAGTTTGGGCGAGTCGCTTTTCTTGCTGAACTTTAATTGATTTTTTTCTATGAAACCACAGCTAAATATTTGATTGTTTTTGATTTATAGAAAAAGAATATAGTTTTTGATGCTACATATAATTTACATCATTTTAAACCTGCAAGTATAAGGACGGAAGTTGCATGTAGCTCAGACAAAAAATAAGATGAATGTGGATTAAAAAATGCATGTTTTTGATTTTTTTTCCCTCTGTAATTTGCATAATTCCGAATTGTACAGTGTACAGTGCAAAGTGTGCAGTGTCCAGTGTACAGTGTATTGTGCAATGTACACTGCACACTGTACAATGTACAATGTAAAGTGTGCAGTGTAAAGTGTACAGTGTACACAACATGCTGAAAATGAAAAGAAACTGTACTTCCTCTTTGTTTATTTTATACAAGTAAATACATATAAACATTTACAGTTGGTCTGTACAACATGTACATATATAAACAGAACAACATCTATCACAAGTATGGTAAATGTACTGTGTACAGGAGCAGGGTACAGTTATTACTAACAATGTTGTACTTTTTATGTACTATTTACATGGTTTAATATTTGCGGCCAATAAATTTCAATTTAAAAATTCTTCCAATCAATACAAGGAACGGTTATTATTTTGATAAATAGTCTTCTTAAAACTCCGTGCAACTCCGTCCCCGGTTTCACTTTAAAAGAAAAATGTTACAAAACTTAATTAAAAATGTTAAGCACGTCTAGTAAAATATTGTAAGTAAATAAAAAATAGATTTTAATTCATGATTCCGTTAATTTTGCGAGTCATTTTATTCTTTATAATAAATCATTCTTGCATAATTATATTGTAAATGCATTTGGTTTTAAATTGACATTCAGATGTTTTGTGCTTGTTTAGATTTATAAATATTACATGTAGAAAAATGTAAAAACTAAAAACAATATCAGTGTGTCCCACGATACATGACAATTGAGAGAATTATTCAAGGTCGTCTTTTCTATTTTCAACAGTTTTCGATAACATACGTTTTGAAGTAAAATCATTGAATCTGTAATCACAAAAAAAATCCAGTTAGTCCTAGCATTTTCAAAATGCTTTTTCAAAATTACAAACGAGATGAAGAACGAGATGAAGAACGAGATGAAGAACGAGATGAAGAACGAGATGAAGAACAAAATGAAGAATGAGATGAAGAACGAGATGAAAATCGAGATGAAGAATTTTGTTAAGATTTCGACAATTTTGATTTTCTGTAGAAAATTTAAATCTGCACAAAATTCCCAAAATTAAAAGGACAAAAGAGTAGATCGCATTTTGGAAAAGCCAAGACTTAAGTGTTTATTGTTTCAAGGAACATGCCATTTAAAAGAAGGTTAACGAACAAATGCCGCAAAATATTTCAAAGATTAGAAAGACGATTTTCAAAACAACTGTGATGTTTTGTGGTACACCCTGTATTTCCCAGCCATTTAAGCAAATACATTCAAGAAAAATCCGTTGTTGTTGGTTGGAATTGGACAAAATATACCGTGGTCCTATTACAGCTCATAATATACCGTGGTCCTATTACAGCTCATAATATACCGTGGTCCTATTATTACAGCTCAAAATATACCGTGGTCCTATTACAACTCAAAATATACCGTGGTCCTATTACAGCTCATAATATTATTCAATGGATACATTTATTATTTATCTAACCTTCAAATCCCTAAATTTTTGCAATCTGATGGTGTAAAACTTAGGTATTTTATATTTTCACATAGTCATAGTTTAAAATTTTAAAAAAGCTTTGACATCAGGCTCAAAACTCAAAAGATGATGTGTTCAGTTTTCTCAGCAAATTTCTCTTTACTGTAATTATCTGAAAGTATATGGCGGTTCACAAAACTTTCCTTTACGGACAAAAACCAGATCCACACAAAAAAAAACTATCAATCAATCAATATCGGAAATTTATCAAATTAGTCGTGAACTTTTTTTCTATTTTATCATACGTTTGATGAATTTCACGGGTCCAAAAATGTATCATTTTTTTAACATTCAATGATTTTTTGACGAGAAGATGGCTCCACAAAAAAATTAGAGGTGAGAACTGACATCGTCCTCATACTGTCCTGCCATAGGTCTCGAGGTGGCTAAACCAATCTTGGAAATCTCGAAATCTATCGGCTGCCGATCATCATACAAAGTCGGGGCCTGGGATCATTTCATTATTATTTACTTTTTTGTTATAGCAAGAAAAAAAAACATCATAAAACCTGTAAAATACTACTCAATGAAATGATAAACAATCCCTAATTAGTTTTTATAATTATTTATGGACTTCAGAATTCCTAGTATTTTAATCAGATCAAGTTTAAATTTTCTTGATTTCTGAAGGAAACATGTAAAATGTTTAATATAGTCGTAAATTTCAAACTACTGCTCGTAAATTTTAAATTTTAAGCTTCTTGTCAATAGAAATGTTAATCAAATAAAACTTTATCTTTTTCTAGATACTTGAATATATTGATATAATAATCCTGTAGAATGATGCCAGCTGTTCCAACTAGAACTGCAACTGTAAATATCCAAAGGAAGAGTCGATCCATCACCATTGCAACATACTTCCAATCTTCAATTATCTAGACAACACAGTTTAAACAATGTAAAAAATGACAATCTTAAAATGTCTGTAATCGTTATTTCAAGTGACCCTCCATGAAATGCAATGATGCAGTAGAATTGTAAATCAGGTATGCAATTAAGTCGGAGATAATAATATCCGACAGTTTCTTTAATATCTTTAGTAGCCCTGTCACAATAGGAAAGAACAAAACGCAGCCAAAGTTGATTATTGAAACCTGTAGAAAATATTTTGAAATATTTTTTTCTTCAAATTTTTTAAAAAATTTTTTTGTAGGAATATGGAAAATTAATATTTACAAAAACGTTGAATGAATTTGAAAGTAAGAAAGAAAAAAAAAATAATTGTTGATTTGCTTTTTTCTTTTAGAAACTTTAAACACCCGTGCTGAAAGGATTTGAACATTTTTGTCAAAAAAGTGCCAAATGTTTCCACCCGGTCCTATGTTTAGATTTCTTCTGTTTTGATCAACAAATAATATTCAGCAGATAAAACAATTTCTAATTGAACTGAAAAGGGTCAACATTTTCAAAATGGAGTTCATATTATTTTTTTATTTGATTTTATTTCATATACACAATCTCGTCAACCCTATTAATACTATTTGTACTTTCTTGGACTTGACACAAGCCATTGCCAGCTTAAAATATAGAATAAATAAACAAAGTGAATATTGTTTCAACTTAAAGGGACTGTGAAGGAAAAATGAAAGGGGGTAAAGGCTCAATCCTGAGAATCTCAGGAGTTGAACGCTACCTTTAAGACATCTATCCGATGTTCCTGTCTCGAAAAATTGACTTAAAACTGTGTCAAATTATACCAAAACGTATAAATATATATATGTCCGTACCACGTGACCAGAGCTCCCTTAAAGAATATTAAATTCAAATAATAATAGGAGCAAACTTGAGTTTCTCAGGCTTCACTGGAATATCGTAGTTTTCAGTTTGGTTGCGTATTTGTTGAATATGATCTGTTTAATACTACGAATCTTATACAAAATCTTATATACGTTTTGGTATTGTTTTGACACGGTTTTATATCAATTTCTTGAGACGGGAACACATAAGAAAGAACTCTTATAGGTCTCAATCAACTCCTGAGATTTACAGGTTTTAGCCTATACCCCGTTTCATTTTTCCTTAACAGTCCCTTTAAGTTGAAACAATATTCACTTTCAAATAACCTTATTGATATTTTTTTAATGTCTAAATAATTTCCTCTAAATTCTAATTTTTATTTAGCAGCTAGCTGGTCGAACACTGATTTATTGTTAGAAACCGTATATTTTTTTTAATATACGCTAATTGCTCTTTTAGTAAAATATCAAATATAATGTATATATGAGTAGTTTTGTTTCTTGTCAGAATTCATTAATTATAAATTCGTAATTCTAGAATCTAGATCTATAAACACAGGATTTATAAAATTTTCTTAAAACATAATATCATAATCTTTATAAAAATATTTATATGTTAATTGAGTCAAATCAGAAAAGATATATTTTAGCCATTTTTTGTGTCTTTGAAAAAAGACCGTCCAGTAAAACGTGACGATTCACGCACCTCTGCCCCTTTAGTAAAAGTAAATTCAACCTATATGAAGCATAAAGGCTGACCGCGTCAACCTTGTTGCACCGGCTAGTCCTGTTGATTATCTGCTTAATTAAGCCAATGCCTGTGCGGTACAGTACAAACTGGGACCGGTGGTTGACCTGGCTCGGAAATTGTAAAAATGTGCTACGGCTGCCAGTGGATTAACAATAATACTCTTTATATAAATAAGAGTTCAAAATTTTCATCCACAGAAAATTAAAGAGTTGATTTATGAGTTAAAATGGGGATTGTAGATAGTACATGGCGTGAACCTTTGAGTTTTGAGGATTTAAATTAAGTTTGAACCTCTATGTTGAAAATAAATAATATTTTTTACTTTCTTAAACTGGTTCTATCTAAACTTATAATATTCAAATTTTTATTTTTTTCAATTTAAAATAATCCTTTTTTGATATAAAAAAACTGTTCCAGAAAAGATTATACTCTCCGTGAAATTGAGGGTTTAAATTTAAAAACTTTTTATTTATTCTTGAATATCATTAGAAGTTTTAAACGAATTTAGTGAATTTTACAATTGAGAACTTAAAGGAATTGAATGCGCAAGTACTTTTAGCTAGTTCACATAGCAACCGCAAAGTTTAAAATATATCCATGGATGGAGTATAATATGGATATGAAGGCCGGTGGAAACCCATAGAGAATAGAATATATACTAGAGGGGAATTTACTAGAAAAAAGTGTAAAACGGTCATTTTGTTGTACTGTTTCCATACTGCAGGTGTACTTCACATATTTATGCTATATATCCTTTTGGGCCCTGGATAGAGAAAATCTAAAATTAATTTTAAAAGAAAACCAAATTATGAAATAGGCTGGTTTCATAATGGACCAATGATCATTTCACATAGACTCTATGCCTTCCACTTTACACACGATGATTTTCCGTTATAACTATAAATCAAATGATGTTTTTTATTCACCTAATTCATTATAAAGTTTATTTATTATTTGCGTGAATTTTAGTTTACGATTCACAGCGGCACCATTTAATTGTATATTCAAGTACAACGAGGAAAATTTTACCGTTTTTTTTACCGTTTTCAATTCTGACAACTTACTTCATTGTTGGTTTTTGGCATACATCAATCCGCAATTCACTTTTATTGATAAACCAAAACAAAAACTAATATCTTTATATAGACAAATAAGAATATCTCACTCGTTTGACTAAAAAAAGAACCATGCACCGTTGTGAATTAGACATTCCAGTGAACCACTTGAAATTAGAGACACCGTCCTTAATTTAAAGTAAATACTAATTTATCTTGCTGTTTACACTTTTCTTATCCCAATGGAAATGTTTGACTTTATAACTGTTTAAAATTCCAAACAGCTCAAATAAAACCATTTTCTTTTGCAGTACGGAATTTATAAGAATCATTGCTTTCTTAGAAGAGGTAATTTTCCATGTCTAAAAAACAAAAACAAAATTGAACAAAATAAACAGTAAACAAAATTCTAATTAAAGGGACTATATAAGCGTTATTGTAACTCTCCATGCAAAAGAAGACAATGCTCGATCTACAACGGGTACCTTGAAAAGCTTTGTCTGATCAAGTATGAATTATATCTATGTATGTTTTTGTTTATTTAAACTGTTTATTTTCATTTGAACGCTTTTCTAGTTAACAAAAGTTATCTTTCACATTTTTGATTATATTAAGGTTTCCAGGGTACCCTTTTAAACCGGACATTGCTATCTTTCACATTTTTGATTATATTAAGGTTTCCAGGGTACCCTTTTAAACCGGACATTGCTATCTTTCACATTTTTGATTATATTAAGGTTTCCAGGGTACCCTTTTAACCCGGACATTGCTATCTTTCACATTTTTGATTATATTAAGGTTTCCAGGGTACCCTTTTAAATCGGACATTGCTATCTTTCCAGGGAGAGTCACTTAAAATTACGCTTATAGTGTCCAAATTTAATGAATTTGAGCCGCGTCTTAGATCCGCCAAAACCCGGTTTCAATTGAGCGCCGGCTTAAATTTTGAACCATTGAATGCAATTTTAAGTGAAAACAACCAAATTTGAGCCGCGGCTTCAATTTAAATCGCGGTTCAAATTCTTTAAATTTTGCCTCAGTCACTTTAAGTATCTTTGCAGTAATAACATAAACTGAAAATAGTTTAAATCTGATTTTTTGACGGACTTCCCGTCAAATATATTTTTGTAAATTGATTCTTTTAAAGTTTTGGTTCAGCTCTACTGCTATAATTATTAATTGATCTGTCAAATACAGAATTTCATGAAGTATACCATAAATAGTTTGGAGTATCTTCAATAGTAATTNAATTTCCCAAATGCCTGGGTATCTGGGAAATTTCCCAAATGCCTGGGTATCTGGGAAATTTCCCAAATGCCTGGGTATCTGGGAAATTTCCCAAATGCCAAGGTTTTTGGGAAATTTCCTATTTAAAAAAAAAATGTAAATGCTGTCGTGTCATGACTGGAGACCACCGGAGGGAATTCATTTTCACTGGAGGAGTTTGAAACAATGCTTTTTGAAATTTTAAACTTTACGCAGCGTGATTTACATTCCACTGGAGATATACTTATGACATACTCAGTGTCAGGTTTTATTTCCAACATACAGGAATACCCGAAAAGGATGAGACTTCAGAGACAACTGTACGGACATTAACTGTCTGCCTTCCTTGACCCTGTAGTTTCAGTAGAAGTAAATATTTCCATTTACTGATAGCGCCGATATAAGGATTCATAACTCTAATTGGATAATGAGATCGATAGAGAGATAGATGTTACCACCATGCTATTTCTTTTGGTTCAGAATAGACACCAAACACATGACTGAACCCTGATTGGATCAGGCACTAATGGACTCGGCATACAGGAGTGCCTGTATCATAATAAATTAGTCTAAAAATGTAGCCATGCCTGTTTTTATAAAAGTATGCAGATGGGGTTTTCCTACTCTACTTAACTTAAAAACTGTTTTTCAACTCTTTGAAACTTTACCCCCTGAACTGTGTTTGCATCCTTTACCATCATACCAATATCAAGGAATATCTAGTTTCAAAATAACAAAACTTCAATTCTTTGATCTTTAAATATCCTTTGTTTGAGTAAAGTATTGTAGAATATGCAAACGGAAGAAAGTTTCGATAAACAATGATATATTTATTATGGAGATCATGGTTTGACATTTTTTTAATTGTTCTTTGCTTATACATTTATTCTTTTGACGACCTGAAGTGTACTTTCGAAAATATAATTGACATTTTTTTTATAAACATTTGGTATTTTTCATGCGTAATTGAATGCGAATGCTCTATCTTTGTCTTGCAAATTTGCAATTCAACGCGGCATTCGTGTAACTCCTGTAAGCTTCTGTCTCAGGGTTATTGTGAACGAAAAACCCCTAAATCCCTAAAAGACGACATATAGTTTTCTATCTATATTGTTATAAATCTATGGGTTTAGCCTTCAACATGAAAATCTCCCGCTAAATCTAGAAATCCTAGATTAAGTCGAAGATCCAAAATGCTCCTCCTTGGTATGAAGTACTATATCATGCTGTTATTAAAAGTCTTCTTTAATAGTCTTGTATAAAGTTGGAAAGAGGACAAGGTATCCATCAAATCTACACAAATGTTAAAACCCTTAAAAGGAAAATTGGGAGTTTCGTTCAACGATGCTCTTTCAAATTTCGGGCTCAGAGCCCAAAACTTAAGACAGAGTATCGTTATTAAAATCAGTTTTGAAACCCGGGTTTTACGAATGGGGTAAGGCAGTTTTGTAGAAATATGAAATATTATATCATTTAGTTTCTTCATATTTTCATTTTTTCGAATCTCTTAAATTAAAATCTACTTTAATATTAAGACCCCAAAAAGTAAAATCGGGAGTTTCATTCAACGATACTCTTTTAAATGTCGGGCTCAGATACACTAGTGTAAACTAGTGGGGGGTTTTTTGCAGCTAATTTCCTGCCATTATATAAATCAGAATATCTACGAGATCCTTCATCAAACAAAGGTTTAAAGGGTACCGTTGTTAATCGAAGATGTCTCTCTATAAATGGAAGATAACTTAGAATTACGCTTACAGTCCTTTTAAGTTAAACTGAGTTCTGAAAATGTCCTAAATTTATTTTCCTTATCTTGAACAGTTTCCACCTGAGTCAGCATTAAATAGATTTGATCTGTTACCTTGGTTGATTCTTCCATTCTCTTCTTATGCTCAGCAATAAATAGAATACCCTCCAGAGCTTTATAGATTTCAGGACACAAGCGTCGCGAATTCTCCTCGATCTCCTTTACATTTGTAGAATTTAATTAGATATTTGATAAATCTAATTCTGCAAATTTTTTGTTAAAAATTACATTTTTTAGAAGAAAAAAGTGTTTTAGTATTTTGGTAGATTTTAATACTGTTTTATTTACCATATTACTTTTTAAAACTTGAATACTAAAAGTAAAAAAGAATTTTTTCAGTGAGAGTTTAGTCGACCCCCCCCCCCCTTCCATTCCAGAGTACAAACCAATATCAAATTCTCCATAAATTCGAAATGGGGGAATTTATCCTGGTTTTGAATCAATTTAGTTTGAGACAAACTGACATTAAGATCAGTTGACAAGAAGAGTGAAGTTCACTCTTCCAATTTAAACTTTTAAATTTTAGCTTGTTTTATCAACTTTAGGAAAATTTCAAATTTTTGTCTTTTAAAAATATTGATCTTTTATAAGTATTTTGTGTTTTAGCACCTTTATCAGATTATATATCAATGAAAAATAACAAGCTATAGATACTTATTTTTAAAAATTCTTGCAAATTTTGGAATAAAACATATTATGTTTTTGTATGTACTTTAATGAAATGAAAGACACAAGTTAACATCATAAAAAAGACAGAAAATATTCCGTACATGTCATCTCTCAAGTCTCTACTTTTGTGGGTATCCCTGTATTTTACCTGATCTAGTTTTGTGTACTCAGGATATATATTCTCTGTAGATCGACCATGCACTTTACATCCTCCATTCAGGGGATATCCTTCTCTTCCTGAGGGTAACCTAAACAATAAATACATTATGTTACAGTATGTCTTCCTCTTTAAATGATTTTTTTAATGCCTGACCGGCCCAGCTGTCTTAACTGAAATGTATCAGCAAATTTTGTAAATTCTTTGAATCCTTTCTTGGATATTTTTAATGATTTTACACAAAAGAATGAGAAAACAAAGAAACTGTGTTTTTGCCACTAACTCAAATTTTCTAGTTCCTATATCTTTGCAACCTGATATTGTAAACCTGTAATATTATTTAAATATCTAAGAGAATGGTTTCTTCTCCATAGCTCTCTACATACAATAAGAAGAATCTAAAGGATATATAGATTTTAATCGAACGTGAAAGGAAATGAGTTTTTTCTAATCCTTATATCTTTTAAACCCGACGTCGGAGACTTTAAATTCGGTTATATCAAAAAGTCTAAGTTTTAAATGTCGAAGGTTTACATCATCAGGCTGCAAAGATAAAGGGATTAGAAAATCTTAGTTTGTGGTAAAGACTCAATTCCTTTACTATTATTGACTAAATCTCCTCTTAATATCAGTTCAACTCAAACCATTTAGAAATTTCAAGCTTTGAAACTTGAACAGTTTTTGGAAATTCTTTTTTGAATTCCAGGAAAAAGATCCAATTTGTTCAAACAAAAGAAATCCAACTCTAAGTTTTTATTAATTTTAATTTAATTTAATTTTTTTTAAATATCTGGTAATTTTTAATAGTATTAAAAGCCTCCAATCTAAAAATATGACCTTGATATAAAAATTTGAAATGAATTTACTAACAAATATTTTTTTTAATTTCAGATTTTCCTTTTTCTTTTAGGTTGCACGAGAAATATTCATCAAAATTTATGTTGCAATATTTTATGTAGTTGTCAAGGTGTACAAACTGGTAAAAACACAAGAATATTACAGAGGTTTCGAGTGGCCTTCCATTAAATAAATTAAAAAAAGAATGGGCATGTCCGATTTACACCAGTACCTTTCAAACTTTTATCTTTGCAACAATGGGGAAGATTATAGATTGATTAGAATAAGAGATAGGACACTATGATTTAGGCGTTTTTCGTTCGGCAGGATGTGCAGAGGAGTTTCGCGCAGGCAGCGTTGAGTTAAAAGACAGAAAGAGAGCATGTGCTTCCTTCGCGGAACTCCTTTGGGTTTCTGCCTGAGGTTAAACCTTGAAAAGCCGACTTCTAGTCTCCTATCTGTTATATTCTATGGGAAATTCGATTTTCCATCTTAAAAAGGGTGTTGGGAGATTTCATAAAGAGACATTTCACAGACAGGACATTTCATAAATAGGACATTTCATAGACAGGACATTTCATTGAAACAAAAGCATTTTGTTCAGAGACAATTTAGTAGATAAGATTACTTGTCAAATTTCCTATCTATGAAATGTCCTACTCATGAATTGTTATATTTATAAATCTACATAATTTCCTATTATTGAAATGTCCTTTCTATGAAATGTTCTCTCTATGAAATGTTCTGTCTATGAAATGTCCTCTCTATATCAATGTCTTTTTATGAAACGAGTTTCTATGAAATGACCCAACACCTAACCCCTATTTCTCCTATTAGGTCTAAATACGGGCTTTTATACTTTATGCATGAGTCCTCAGAAACATTGCTAGAATTACTATTTTTTCGAACCCTTAACAAACTAAATCTTTGTTTTGGCCCATTTTCAGCTGTCAGATTTTTAGCTTTTGGAAAGCCTATGACATAAGAAAATGGATTGCACAAGAAATGTTTGCAAATTATTTACATACAACTCGTTATAATACATCAGTTTCTTTAAAATTTTGAAAACACTTTGCATACTTAAAATGGAATGGTCAAGGTTTAGCTACGCTCAGTTTGATAAACGACCGGTTTAAATAAATACTTTATTACTGAATTTAAGATACTAAATTTATCAAAACGTAAAAATATATATCAAAATAGCTGGTGACGTGGCCGGAAGTTGCTCATCTTGCCGCGTCTTGACCTTCGGTTCAAAACTCCTCAAAAGCCTCGTCTTCCGCCACTACGCCGCCACAAAGGGCTTTTTAAAAGTGTATATTTTATCCTTTTTTAGTCATTTTTACTAAAAAACTGGATTTTGAAAAAATTAATACAATTTTTTATTGCAGGTTTTAAAAGTAGAGCATAAGAGCTTTCCAATGACGTATCATTTGTCATATTTGGACAAAAAACATGGTACTTTAGAGTGGGGGGTAAAATTGACCCCCCCCCCCCCACCGTATCCTGGTTTTCAAGTACACCATAGGGTTAAAGGTGTTAAATTATTTAAATTCCATTCTTTGTCCATGCTACGTAAAAGGAATTGAGTCTTTGCCATAAACTCTGGATTTATAATCCCTATATCTTTGGAAACCAATGTCGCAAATCTTTGATATTTCAAACTTACATTATTTGATCTAACAGAATTCATAGTTTGAAATTTCAAAGGTCTAAGACATTGGAATCCAAAGATATAGGGTTTAGAAAAGCAGAGTTTGTGGCAAAGACTCAATTCCTTTTCAATTGATTTTATAGAGTGACATGTTATATTCACAACGGTATCTTTTACACCTAGACTCGGTCACAGTAATAATATTAATAAAATATCGTGTTTCTGTTAATTTCCTTTATTGATCTTGCCGCATCTACTCATAATCTTTGTAGAGAAACCATAAACAAAAATATATTAATGAAAAAATAATGATATATAATTTATCCTTGATCAAACAAAGGCTTGTGAATCGGACATGTTTCTTTGCTCTATAAAGTAAACGTTACTTAAAGTTACGTCTACACTCTACAGTTTCTTAAACCATAAAAAGTTACGTTACACTCTACAGTTCCTTAAACCATATAAAGTTACGTTACACTCTACAGTTCCTTAAACCATATAAATTTACGTCTACACTCTACTGCAGTTCCTTAAACCATGTAAAGTTACGTCTACACTCTACAGTTCCTTAAACCATATAAAGTTACGTCTACACTCTACAGTTCCTTAAACCATATAAAGTTACGTCTACACTCTACAGTTCCTTAAACCATATAAAGTTACGTCTACACTATACAGTTCCTTAAACCATATAAAGTTACGTCTACACTCTACAGTTCCTTAAAGTATAAACTCTGGGGGTCACACCGTCTCAAACTATTTAGAAAAATATCTTTGAGAAAAGATTTTGAATTTTACCAATGTTCATAGCCCATTTTTTTAAAGGTTAACTCATTAACTAAATAATACCGCTGACTTTAAAGGTGCATGCGCTATATGATGGTTTAAAAAAATTGGCAAGAAAGGTTGGACAAATATATATATTAAATTTTTGCTTTTAATTTGACACATAGATGTGTACACTGTACAGTGTACATGTCCATTTTCCAGGGCTTTTTAAAACATGTCGATTTAGAATCTGTAGCTAAATAACAAAACAGTAATCGGCTTTTTAAAAAAAATAACTTTTTAAAATTTTTTAGAAATCCGTTCAATTAATTTTTTTTATAAGTCAAGAATTTTTTAAGTCTAAAAAATAAGAATGCAAAGTAAAAAGAACTTGCGATCCTACTTTGAATGTCTGTTTGATGAGTAGCTGAGTGAAGATATAGGTCTAGTTGAAGGACTATGATTAGATCTAGGTTGAGCTGGGGGACTGAAAGTATACTCAGAGCAATTGTCTCGAAGATAAGGATGCCTAAAAAATAAAAATGAATTGTTTGTGTACAGTGAGAACCAGATAACAATAAAAATAATGTCGACTCTGTTCTCTCTTTTATCGCTAAGGGTTTTTTTCAATTAATTTAAAGAATATAGTTAAAATTAGAAATCTTTTGCGACATGTTCTAAAGTAAAAGAGGCGAATGGGAAAAAGAATGTTCATAATGGTTTGGAAAATTCTTCCTATTCTCATCTTCTGTTCAACTAAGTTTCTAGTTTTGTTTCTTTTGTTGTCAGATTCTGTAGTTTCAGTTCATGGGATTCCTCAGATTCTGTAGTTTCAGTTCACGGGATTCCTCAGATTCTGTAGTTTCAGTCCACGGGATTCCTCAGATTCTGTAGTTTAAGTTCACAGGATTCCTCAGATTCTGTAGTTTCAGTCAACGGGATTCCTCAGATTCTGTAGTTTCAGTCCACGGGATTCCTCAGATTAAACATAAATTACATTTGTAGGAATTCTGGATCTTGAAAACTGATTACATCAAACTCAGATCTTTGAATAGTTGAAATTGACTGTCCTTGTAATTTCAAGTGATATTCTATTTATAGAAAATTAGGACAAGTCCTATTTGATAGGATACCCTTTATACTTTTATATCTGATCATAAATGGGGAAGATATCGTCCATGTGTTTCTTGCAAAGTGTTTAATTCTAATCATTTCCTCCCAATAGGAATCTACAGCAGATATGCGCAATTCACTTTTGAGGTTAACCATGCAATTAGAAATAAGATATTTAAAAAATTTGAAATCTCATCGATCCTTGATCTGACAAACACACCATCCTCGGGATTTTCATTCAATTGTAAATGGTTAGGAAGTACGCTTCCTACAGTTTAATCTATCAAGGTATAATTGTTTGATGTAATCATTTTCAATCTCAAAACTGAAAAAAGATAAAATTAAATCCAACATAAACCTTCTCTAAAAGTTCCATAGTCCAAGCCGGTACCACATGTACTGTATATGCATTCAGTCTGGACTATACCCAGTAAGGATGATCAATATTGGAATCAAGCCAACCGCCGACCGGGGGTTGTTGCATTTTTACTTTTAAAAAAGTGTATACAGTTACAAATTGACGATTTAATGAAATCACCGTAAGGTCAAAAAAACTATTTTGAAACATTTCGCGTTTTACATCATTTTCTTGGAAATACTGAGTTCTTATCTGAAAAGCGCTTTTTTAATTATTAAAAATTAATGGAGTTATAACTAAATAATTGTCGAAAAATCTGGGTTTTTTAACTCTAATGTTTTTGGTGAGTTTTCTACTCATTCAATTTTGATTTTTTAAGTACTTTTCAGATTTGAATATGGCATTAAATTTCCAAGAAAATGATGTGTAACATTAAATTTTAAAAAAATGAAGGGGGCCTTACGGGGATTTATCCGAATTAAAATTTTTAATTTTCGGGTCTGTCCTAGTATACAATTTTTGGACCCCCCCCCCCTCCTATCAATTTTGTACATGACCATTTATTTTTCAGCAAATTTATTATTATTTATTTTTTTGTTATTTAGGATTAGGTTAGGTTAAGATACTTTCTGGGCCGAGCACTGCGGCTAGGATGGGCTAGGGGGCCGAGCGCTGCGGCCATGGGTTAGGTTAGTTAAGACACTTTCTGGGCCGAGCGCTGCGGCTAGGATGGGCTTGGGGGCCGAGCGCTGCGGCCACGGGTTAGGTTAAGTTAAGAAACTTCCTGTCACACCCATGTACAAAATTGATAGGAGGGGGGGAGGGGGGGTCCAAAAATCGTATACTAGGAAATTACCCAATTTTCAATCGTATGGACGGTTTTGAAATTTATTTTAATTGCAATATTTCTATTAAGTGAAAACGCAGCAACCTCCGGTGGGCGGTTAGCTGATTTATAAAAAAGTCACAAATCAATCACCATTACTACCCAGATGTAGACTGTAGAATTGACCCAGTGCGCACGTTGTATTCAACAATTGTGGTCTGGTAAGATTACAGCGTTGACCTCCAACGCTTAAACTGTTTATGGCGGGTATCTAGATTAATGCTTGATGTCCTCTTTTTCTTAATGTCCATGGATTAAATAATGCTTGTTCTCCTCTTATTATTAATCTACAGATTAAATAACTGATCGGGATAAGGGATATCCCATTCTAAGATTCCCAGCTCTGGCTTTATATCTGGATATCTCCGGACTATCTTTATGGTTTTATACCTGGATATTATAGACACAGTGTTTCGTCCTATTAGCTATTAGGACTCATCAGTATGGCTCTATTTATATATAGTGATAAGTTTAAATTCAATTTTATAAATAAAATGGTTGCAAACTGTCTAAATTCTAAGCTAATGCGGATATTTTGTGTTAATTGTCTTTAAAATTATTTGTTCAAAATACAGAAAACACAAATAAATACCTCATGAAGTCCATTGCATGTTCTAATCAGAATCCTCTCTCCTCCAGAGGCAGGGCGATCTCTGAAAAATAAAGAAAAATGATGATTTTTAATCAATGTACCTCTTGATTCGAACATGTACACTAAATTACCATATTCTTGCACATGTACAATTTAATGTACTTTGTTTTGTATACACTTAAATATTCCAGTCAGAGATCGTGCACATTCTCACGAGTGCTAAGCAAGGAATCACCACATCTTCTCCTAGGGCTGGGCGCGTTCACGGTGGAACGATCGTTCTTTGCCGAGAACGAACGGAACGATCAAGAACGATCCCATCGGTCCGAAAAAAAAAGAACGCTTAGAACGCGTTCTTATATGGAAACGTTCTTAATTAAGAACAGAACAAGAGGGATGCAACCGTTCTTCAACTAAGAACGCCAAGAACGGAACGGAACGGGAAGACCGTTCTTCTACTCAGAATGGAACGGAACGGGACGGAACGGAACGAGAACGGAACGATAAAAAAAAGAGGAACAAGAACGGAACGATTTAGCTGGAGGCCCTCGTTCTAGAACGGAACGGAACGATTTCAAAAAAGTCGGAATGTGCCCAGCCCTATCTTCTCCATTTCGCTCGTTCTGTACATATTTAGTGCTGTACATATAAACCGTTAGTAGAAGTAATAACTGAGACCCAAGTTTGAATCTAATTGTCTAATTTGAAAGCTAAAAATAGAAAGATGCTCATACCCAATGTCGGATACAAGTCAAGCAAGATAATCCGTTATAACTTGAGATAAGAGTTTGGCGGAGCGAGGGCAGCTAGTCCGGGTTTGGGCGGAGAATTGAAAACGGTTCCCTCCAACACGGAGAATAAAGGAGCTGCCATGTTTTAAACCCTAGGTGGGATAGTATTCATCGTGGGATTGAAAGAGTTGGTCATGCAATAATATGTCTGCCGGTCAAGACAGAGAGATCCGTGAAGTGTTCCATCTCTACTCTGATAACGTTTAAATACTCCATATCGTTAAGCTTCATGGTGAGAGCTGTGGGATCTATCCGCCTCGACCGACGGACATATTCTTGCATGACCAACTTCTGTAATCCCTTGATGAATACTAAACCTATTGGGTTTCAAACATGGCAGCTCCGTTATTCTCCATGTTGGGGGAACCGTAATCAATTTTCCTATCTAACCCGGACTAGCTGCCCTCGCTCTACCAAACTATTATCTCAAGTTATAACGGATTATCTAGCTTGTCTTGTATCCGACATTAGGTATAAGCATCTTTCTATTTTTAGCTTTCCTATTAGACAATAAGATTCAAGCCTGGGTCTGAGTTATTACTTTTACAAACGGTTTATATGTACAGCGCTGAATTTGTACAGAACAACAGATATGAAACCCTGCTGGTTTACACTGTACTCTGCATAGCACTGCTGAGACTGTGCACACAGTCATCAGAAGCTGGTGCATGATGAGTAAGTGTATACAAACTCAGGGTTACCCAAAAAAAAAGAATTCTCAGGTCGTCATCATTTGTGTGTGTGTGTAAGTGTAACCCTTCACATCGTTTTCATAGCTCTTCAGTGTTATACTAAGCGGTATTATGTACACTGAACAACACTCAACAGTCAGGGACGTATACAAGGAGGGGGCCTACGACGTCTGACCCCCCCCCCCCCCTCCTGGTAGTATGGTAATGTTCCAGACCCTTTAAACAAATTCATGTATACGTCCCTTGGTTTAATTCAAGCAATTATTGCAACATATTACAACAGTTAGGGAAACTATATATTTATTAATTTCTAAATCTATGTAAATTAAATTTTATCTAAATTAACTTATTCATGATTTTAAATATTTAATCTTCTATTATCTATCTGACATGCCTAAGTATATTACGTATACTATAAAAATTCTGCATATCAACTTTAGGAAAATAATATCAGATAAAGGAATTGAGTTTTTGCCAAAAACTCAAATTTTCTCCTCCCTATATAATTCTGAAACGTTAGTGTGTAAACCTTTGATATTTTAAATTTGACTTTTTTAGAATGATATATATCAAATGTCTCAGACCTCAGGTTGCCAAGATATTTGGATTAGAAACATAGAGTTTGTTGCGAAATGCAATTTTTTTTAGATGTGTTGATTTTATAATTTTTAGAATTAACGACCCATAGTTAAATTACTTACATGTCTAACAATTATTTAAAAAATAAAATAGCAATTATTTCTTTGAGTCAGCATCTACTTTCATTTTATATTTAAAATATAAAACAGCAGTAACAACCAAGGTAGAAAGGAGAAATTATAAAAGAAGCAAACGGAACAAAAAATTATGTCGCGTTGGAACTAAAATCGGTCAATTTTGGCTGGCACAAAATATATGGGAAATCGACGTTTGGGCCACAAAACACAAAAAAACGGTTTTGGTATTTCCATAAACATAAAAAATGTCAAATTTAAAGGTTTTAGTTTTTACTTCCTGAAATCTTAATAAAACCTTTTTATTTTTTTTTATTTCTCGGGCAACCCTGGGCACTGCTAAAATGATTTAAGACCAAGCGCGGGTAAACGGCGGGAGTAGCAATGAGTCACATGAGCATTTGGCAAGAGTTTGTGGCAAAGACTTAATTTCTTTGGATATGTTAAATCACTGTAAAAGTGGTTTTGGTTTCTATGCAAGGGTCATTGACACATTGTAAGTTGGGAAACTTGTGTATGACTTGCTTAGTTTTTGAAAATAGCTAAACAAATTTAGGTTTTTTTATTTTTTCAGACACAAACATGGATTTGTAGATATTTCCGCATAATTTTAAACCTTCCCTCATATGGACTGAAAACGACCATTTAAAGCGTTTTTTGACACTTTGATTTGTACAAATCTATCTTGAGATTTTTTTTTCTGAAACCCCAAATATCTGATTGTCTTCATTAAACAGCAATTCTTCTTATTTTTTATTGCCATGATGTTTCTTGCCACTACTGGGATATTTTATTTGAAATTTCTGTTTATATATATATATATATATATTCGTATATAGAACCTATACACTACAGATAAACCAAGTTTAGGATTATAACATTTTACATGAAATGCCTGGAAATATAAAGTTATTGCTCGTATACTCTATCTTTAGGATGGCAGCAGTGGAATTTAAAAAAAAAAATTTTTGTCAAATAACAAGACAAGAAGCAAGGACTTCATCAAGAATGACATAAACGAAACACCATCTTAACTTGTGCAGTAAAAAAAGAGATTTTATTTTTAGCTAATCTAAATGATGTCAATTTTAGGTTCTTATATTTTATAGTTTATAGCTGTAGCTTGTACAGGGTTATCTTTTATAGCGAAATACTTAACTTTAACTTTCTGAAATGTGATATCTTTTATAACTTTTTTGTGTCTTCTTTGTGAAACTTGTTCCCCCCTGGAGATTAACAAGAGGTAGATGTGTTGTCTATATTTGCATTATTTCAATTGAAACGCGTTAAAAGTTTAAACGAGAAACCGAAAATGTATGTTTAATACAGGTTAGATTGGGATCAAAAGTAATAAACTTGCTGGGAGAAGGACCGAACTGTTAAATCAGTTTATGATTCGATCAGACCCTGATGGATTGATAAGCGGTGCTAAGGGTAAGGGGGGATAGGGGAGGGGGTGTAGGGAGGGATTTTATATTTCAAGAAATCCATATTTTATCTGGTCTCAACTCTGTCTAATTCTGGACATTTATAATATTTTCACAAAGTTTTCCCTTTTCTTCATTTATCTTATAAAGCCCAGGAGAGGAGGAAATACCTATCAACATGGCAATATTGCACTTTAGGATATAAAATATGGTTAGACAAAAATATCGCAATGATTTTAAGATATTGGAATCTTCGAATCCATGATAATTGATGTCAAATTTTATTTTGGTGAAAATGAAATCTCATCAGAGCTGAAAACTTTAGAATGAGATATCCTTAATCAAGGTTACTCAATCTGAGTATCCAATGGATACACTTTTGATTTTCTTCTTAAACCGTCCTTTCTTGGATATAGTTGAGAAAAATCAAAAACCGTTTTTTTAAATTAGAGTCCCTCTCGATTCTGTATATATAATAACCTTGAATGGCGCGCAAAATTTTAAATTTATCGGCTTCATATATGCGACTCTGATTTGTTGAATTTTATACACTTTTTAGGATACAAGTACAAGATTAGGTTAGTATCGATATTAAGAAAAAGAGAGGATCAAGCATTAATCTCGATATCCACCATTCTAAAGTGTTCAGAGCTGGAAACTTTTGAATGGTGGATATCGGGATTAATGCTTTATCCACTCTTTTTCTTAATCTCGAGATAAAAAAATGCTTGTTCTCCTCTTGTTATTAATCTCCAGATTAATTAATCGATCGGGATTAAGGATATCCCATTCTACAGTTTTCAGCTCTGAGCTGGGAACTTTAGAATGGATAAACTTTAATCCTGACTTCTTGATCCGAATATCTACTGTGGAAACTTTTCATTTTTGTCCTAATCCACTCTTTTTCTCTCTCTTTGGATATCCGTTAATTGTTTTCTCCAATGAGAATATTTGTGTTCTCTCATTGGTTGCCCGCTTTTCTCTGATTGGCTGCTACAGTTTCTCAGATGATTAAATATTAATTTGAATTTTCTCGTTTTTCATGCACTTTTAAGATAATCTTGCAAGATTATGTTAATCTTGAGATTATCAAAAAGAGAGGATCAAGCATTAATCCCGATATACACCATTCTAAAGTTTTCAGCTAGTTCAGCTCAGAGCTGAAAACTTTAGAATGATTACTTAATCTGAGTATCCATTGGATACACTTTTGATTTTCTTCTTAAACCGTTCTTTCTTGGATATAGTTGAGAAAAATCAAAAACCGGTTTTTTAATTGAATTTTTTATCTATGCCCTAACGGGGCCACTGACAAAGAGTTAAAAAATAGTTTTATCAGTAAAAGAATGTTACAATTAAAAACGAGAAAATGAGGAGAATATGTGGCTCGGACAAGACATGGTTGTGGCTGGCCAGCCTCCCCCCGAGTTGAAACCCTGATGAAAACATTCATCATTATATGTGATGTTTAATTTGTATACTAAAGATCAAATTAAGAATTATATTTTATTATAACTATTTCTAAATATAGAACCGATGTTTTTGTAAAAGAATGAAAATATTTAAATAAATATTGGAAATAAAACAGTATTTTGATTTAACAGTTCCACTTATATTTAATGTACATTCCCTTTACAGGAAATTAACAATTTAAACTCTGGAATCTGTAATTCCTTCTCAACTTCATCAACACTAAAACAATCATACAGTGATAACCAGAAAACTGTTGAATAAAAAGACGACATTAAGTAAAGAATTTAGTGAAGTACTACCAAATTAGGTGCTAACACAACTAAGTACAACAATAATTAACATCTTTTAAAAAAATGTTTAACATTTCTACTCTAAGGGTTCTTCTAAAACTGCTCTTGTAATAGTTCTACAACATTTAAGGAGGATTTTAAAAAAGAGTTTTTCCAGTTCATTTTTTTTAATTAGGGTTTTTAGCAATAAAAACTGTGAAAAACTCTTTAAACATTAATATTCGATGTGTTTAATAATCGAATGAAGGCCGGGCAGGCAGAGGGCAAGTTTTAGTTTTAGATATTTTAAACTTAAAGGAATATCGACATAGTTTCAAGCAACCTTTACATTGATCTCGGATCCCCCCTTTATACCTTTCTTTATACAAAGATGACGAAGAAAAAAAAGAGAGTCTTAGTTTTCTATCTGATTATTAATCATTTATAATTGCGGTGCCTATAACTCCAGCAGCGACAACGAAGGATAATGAAATATTTTGATCCCTTTTAAAGATTAAGAAAACAACCTGTTTGGTCTTTTTCATTGTAACTAAGGAAAATGTTTGAAGGAAACCGTTGTAAATTGAGAATAAAACTCTTTTAATGAAATGTCGCTTGAAATGCTGTCAACAGTCCCCTGAGATAAATTTTTAATTTATATTAAATGCTGCAAGCCCGAAGTCGATATTTAACCGTATAGTTAAGTAGTGCAGTACAATACATGTACACAGTGTACCTATAGTTGTACTCGGTCTGATCAGCACAGGAGGAGGGGATCCTAGGCCCCGCCCCCACCTCACAGACAGGGGCTGAGGTATGGATAAATGAGTAATAAGGACTTTTTAGAACCTCGCACCTAAATAGTTTTCAAAACATCTGAATCAATTACAAACATTTTTTCCATCTTAAATCCTAGAAAAGAGACGTTTCCATTTTCCAACATTAATCTGGATAATTTTTGCAAGAATCGAACAAAATTGAATCCAGTCTGTAGTGCTGAATTGATCGCGATTCCTTTAATTTTCACGATTAACTTTAACAGTTTTGTTTAAAGGGAGTGTCTTCCTAGAAAGTATCTATAGTGCTCTATATTAGGTTCTATTACATATTAATTTCACGTACAGTATCTTTAACTATGTGTTTCTAGTGCTAATTTTATAGATGGAATACCTTTTTCTTTAAATTGATGAAAAAAAAATATATCAAGATCCCTGACTCCTTTCTTATAGTTTTGCCAAGTTAGTTTTTCAACTTGTTTTTATCCAATATAAGATTTACCAAGGCATTGGATCAGTAACATACTGTCGTTATATAAACTATACTTTATACCAGTTCTTTCACTTTATTTCATTTTAAGTTTCCCTAGAATATACAGGGTGTCCCAATAATCATGGCGAATTAAGAGAAGACTTGAAAGTCGTCTTTGATTTCCAATATTTGATAAATGAAATAATATGTGTATCAAAAATGAACTTTCCAAAATGTGGTCTGCCTTCAAAATTGAAGGAGATATGAAACATTTGAACGATTTTGTTTATAAGGAAGGAAGAGGAAACGGGCGAAACAGAAAAGGGGTTGCAATTTGGTATAGAGAATGAGAATGGGAGAGATGGGGAGAGGAAACGGGAAGCAGAAGGAATGAGAAGGAAGAGAAATTGAATAAAAGGAAAAAACGAATGTTACAAAAAAGAAAGCGAAATAATGTCTTAGATAATGATTCAAGGATATTTTTGGAAATGATAACATATAAAAATATTAACCTGCGAACCCAAGGAGCCATTGTATGAGTTTGTGGTGTTCGAAAGTGAACATTTAACACGACAACTGTTACACATATACTGAAATAGATATTTCATTTAAAAAATTTATTTTCTGCAATGTATGTCCTGTGCGACCTAAATATATGAATCATAAATTTTAAACCTTCGGCCTGATATTTACCTGACCTCCGACCTGAACTTTACTTAACCTCTGACCTCCGACCTAAAGTGTAACTAACCTCATACCTTCGAACTAAAGTTTAACTGACCGTATGACCTCTGACCTGAAGTTTAACTGACCTTTGACTTCCGACCAGAAATTTACCTGACCTCTGACCTCTAACATCCGACCTAAAGTTACCTGTCCTCTGACCTCCGACCTCCGACCTGGAGTTTACCTGAATGTATCTAGAATCATGGTGAAGAGGACGAATTTGCCAAGTAGAGGAACTACCAGGGAGGTAGGAGGGATAATCTCAGCTAGTAGCAAGAAGAACACAGTAAGGGACAACAGGATACTGATAGACAGGGATACCTAAATAGATAGATAGATAGATAGATAGATAAATAGATATTAATAGATAGAAATACAGAGATATTGATAATGATTGTCATTCCGATGAAAAAGAATAGCATAAGTTTTAATCCGCTGCTTATAAACAGTAAATTCAACTTAAGCTATAAATTAAGGGATTTAAATACCTGTAATATGTATCTACATTATTATTATTATTTATATCAAACTTTGAAAATTTGTAAATATTGGTTTATATTATTGAGTAAATGTAAATAAATATAAAATATATTGAATATTCTTCAACAATACATTTATCTTCCCTGTCCAGATGCTGCTGCCACACAAATCCAATAATAACTTTAATTCTTAAACATAATATGCTCGAAATAGAAATGTTAGTGTATTAAACTAGTTTGGGAACCCAGCGTTTTTCAGGGTCATAGTAAGTCCCGCCGTTTACCCGCACGTAGTCGAAAATTTCCCCTCTATAAAAGTTGACCCACTCATTTCTTAGAATTTAAAAACCAAACAAAAAACATTTCCGTGGCCCTACCAAGTTCTCAAATCCCCATTTGAGGCAAATCTGGCCAGGGGTTTCTGAGTTATGATCGGACAAACAAACACAATGACGACAGACAAACAAAAGATTACAACTTTAAATATATATAGATATGGATATGGATGAATATTCTCTGCATACATATCAAAACCAGTTCTCTCTGGGCTGTAAACAAGAATAGATGTATCAGTGTTCCTTATAGTATCCGGGAAAGATAAAAGCGTTTAATTTTGATAATTCACATAATAGTTTCCGATGACTAGAATATTTCATTGATTTTTTATGTTAAAGATGGATCCCATGCCGGGCTGTGACATCCGTATATTGTGTTTACTTTACAGCCCTGAGAGTATAACTGCAGTACAAAAGATGCGTACACCTCTGAGCCCAAAACTTAAGACAGGGTATCGTTATGAAAACCAGTTTTGAAACCCGGGTTTCAAGATTGGGGTTAGGCAGTTTTGTGGATATTTGTGGATATCAATATTTTTGTTGTGAAATATTATTTCATTAAGTTTCTTCATATTCTTCATTTTTTAAAATTTCTGAAATCAAAATCTACACAATTGCCAAGACCCCAAAAAGGAAACTCGGGAGTTTCGTTCAACGATACTCTTTTAAATTTCGGGCTCTGGTTTACCCTCCTA